ATATATGACTGGAAAAGATGTGATGATGTAATTGAGAGAGACTATAGACGGAAACAGCGTGCAAAAATTCCGGTTTCCTCACACCACACAGAGACATGCAAATTAAATTTGATTTTTCTAGTCATTGATTCCACTATAGGTTGTGTGACTAAAATAGAGCCACAGGAGCATGACAAGTCAAACAGCCTCCTCAATATGGCCCAGAAGATCATCGGCTGCGGTCTCACCGAGATTAAACAGCTCTATGAGGACCGCTGCCGTGGTAGAATTCTGGCCATCACAGAGGACAGTCACCACCCCGGGCATGAGCTCTTCACCCCACTGCCCTCAGGCAAGAGATATAAGAGCATACGGACACTTACTACTAGATTCTTCAATAGCTTCTATCCACAAGCAGTGAGACTGGCGAACACATTTAGCCATCCCCCTCGGACCACACCTACACCATCACCATCTACCTCACTGTAATTTATTTATTGTACGTCTCCAGTCATAGTTTACACGTCTGTATTGTTTACATTCAAACTGTCTGCATGTTTACTTGCACATTGTCTATTGTTTGTTTGTACATTGTCTTGATGCACTGTTTGCACTTTGTTTTGTTATTTTTACACTTGTTTTACAATCGAGAGACTTTCTGTAAGTAAGAATTCCATTGTACCAGCACCGGTTACATATGGCAATAAAGTTCAAGTCAAGTCAAGTCAAGTCAAGCTTTCATGTACTGTACAAGTTACAACCCCAACCCAGTGCTTTTTTATTGAAAAGTATGAGTAATCCATACTGAAATCATGCCAGGAAGCACCCAAGTGATTTTATTATTTTTATTATTTACTGTAGGTGGCACAGTGACCCAGTGCTTAGCATTGCTGTCTTGTAGTCTTGTGTACCTGAGTTCAATTCCGGACCTGGGGTGCTATCTGCGAGTTGGTACTGTATGTTCTCCTTGCATATTATGTTTGATTTTACTGAATACAACAAAGGAGGGTAATTCCTCCCAATATACACCTTGTGCGTCTATGGAACACAGACATTGTGCACAGAAACTTCAAGCCAATTTGAAAGAGCTATGAAAATAAACAGTAGTGAACAGTAGAGAACATGGCAGAAAATTAGCAGCAACTGCGGATCAACACAGAACACTTGAATTTCATGGGCATTATATATAGAGATTAATGCTTCTGACATTTCAATGACACCTACTGTATCATTGTGCAATTTATACTTCCTTTGTTTATTATACTGTATCTCATGTTTTTAAAGAGGTTTATTAACCTCTTCTGGGCCGCCCCCAGCTTTTAAAGGCTCCTAGGCAAGATCTTGGAAAGGAGTGCCTCCAAATCACAATTTACACTACTACAGTTCCCACCCCAAACTTACTTTATTATTTAGAGCTATTAAATTAATTATATGACTGCAAAATGTTTATTAACCAGCTTTGAAGAAAACCTCATAAATAACTTAAAACAAGAACAAGAAGCACATATTTCACACAGATAACTTGAATTTTAATTTTTAAAGTAATAACGTGAAATGTGAATCTATTAACTTCCAGTAAAACATGTTTAGCAGTCTACATGTCTAGGTAGAAAATGCCGCTTGTCTACCATTCTCTAGCTTCATGGATCTGACAGACTCAAAACCTAATGAAATACAAATGATTTATTGCAGTGACTTGATTTGTCATACTTCTGTTTGGTGTGCTTACAAGTTGCAACTACATGATTTTAATTTTAAACCATTTCAACATAGTTTACAACAGAAGTAAAAGATGTTAGATGTAATGAAACATTAATACAATTGATCATCACAACATTTACTACAGTACTTTTTAAAATTAAATGAAAAACATTCAGTGTAGCAGCAGCTGAAACCACACTGATACTTTCATCTTTGGCAAACATGAGAGTCATTTACTACAGTACATTGACAGTGAAATAAACCCCTACATTTACATTTACAACTAATAATATTATATTTTATAACTAACAAACAGATTAGCCTAGCACAGCAGCAACAGAGGAAACTGGAGGAAATTTCTGACTCATATTTGAAGGTGCTGATCTAAAAAACATATTTAGGGGTCCCCTGGTGGCTTCTGGGCCCTAGGCAGTCTGGTAGTCACCTAAGCTGGCCCTAATTACAGGGCAGAAATTGTGTTGTACTCTAGATTTCAATTTATAAACCAGGTTACATTTGTAGTCCTTGGAGCATTTATATATTTAAGTAAATAACTTAACCAACACAATGAGAACAATCTGTAAACTTATCTAAATTTATAGTATTAAATATGATAAATGATAAGCACTCAACTGCTATCTTTGGATTTTCTGGTTTTTGAATGTTATTCAACAGAACAGAATTAGGAAGTAAAAACACATGAAAGATGTGGAGTAGCAGGTTTGATGTCTGTTGTCACGCATTTTGTCATGAGACATTTCCTGCAAAGGAATGTGGAATGTTTCTGTTTCACACAGCAACTGGGTATAAAAACTCACTGAGTGCTAACCAAGAGCAGAAGGACAACTCGCAAGATGCTGCCCTATGTTGTTTTAGCCGCGCTCCTCATTCTGCCTGGTAAGTTGCATTTTATATGACTGTTATTTTTATTATTTTGTAAAGCACTACCAAATATGACAAGGCCATAAACAGAACTCTGTGTAATTAAAATCATTTTGTCTTTTCTGCATTGAAATGCATGTGAACATGAAGTCTGTGAAAACAATAAAAACAAGTTGCTATTTCAAAATGAGTCTCACAGAATTCAGTTATTAGCAGGAACACAAACATAAAGTGACATGAGACACTGTGAACATCCATGGAACAGCCTGGCAGAGACGGAGTTGAACAGTCCTGGAACGGATCCTTTCACAATGGAAGTGTCAGATTCCAGAGTAACATTGTTTCTTTTCTTCCAATCAAGATGTCTAGGGCATACGTAGTAACAAAAATGGGTTTATGATTGAAGAGTGAGTTTTCTTTCCATGATTTCAGGACATGCAGATGAGGTGCAGTATCTAGAGAAAGCACCGCGAAATACAACCCAGCGTGTTGTAGGAGGGGTGACTGTCACTCCCTACTCTTGGCCTTGGCAGGTAAGAGAGGAGATTTCTTGTAGAATTGAAAAGTATTGACGATCTGAGGAAGACTCATGACGTTGGACTGCAGGATAGTGCTGACTTCACTGCAGCATAACTTGGAGTAAATAACTGATTTGTCATATAAGGAAAAGACCTCAAAAAATAAGAACCATACACGTGTAGCAGTTGTAGTATAATGCTGCTTGTAATAGGTAATCTAGGCTTATCTTTAAAAACTACTGAAAAATCATTTTAAGAATTTGATTTTTAAGTTTATTTTTAAAAAATAAAATTTTTACAGCTCTTTCATCTTAGTATTATGTAATTTTTGGTTGACCTATAGACATGAATATCAAGTGTTATATTGTATAACAAAAGTATTAAAGCATTATACAAAGTCAACGTCGGCACAAATATTTCCAATATGCATTTAGATATCTTGTGAAGATTTTTTAATGAAACTCATGTAGAAACAGTAAAGTGAGGAGGTTTTATATAAAGTGGTTTGGTCTGGATGAAGTGCTCGCACAGCAAGGAATCTTGAATGCATCATGTCCATATTTTCTGTTTACTGTCCTCACACAGTGTTCTTTTTATTGTTGGTGCTGGGTTCAGGTCTCGTTGCGGATTTTCTCCAGTAGCTGTTTGTACCACACCTGTGGCGGCACTTTGATTCACAGCCGGTGGGTTCTGACAGCTGCCCACTGCATCCAAAGGTATGCGACTATCTCTAGTTAATTAGGACAGGGAAAAGGGACAGAATTCAGTGTTGCATCATAGAAGGTCAAAGCTTTTTCCCTCTCCTGTTTCTTCATATTTGATATTACACCTACCTGATCAGGGAAGAAGACGTCATTAAAAATTCTGTTTCCTTTAACAGTGGAACATCTATGGTTGCTTTTCTGGGAGAACACAATATTAATGGGATTGAAGGGAAGGAGCAACTCATTCCTGTGGAAAAGGCTGTGGTTCACCCCAGCTGGTCTAACAATGCTGCAATTGGGTTTGTGTTGCATTTGTTTTAATAAATGTTTTGGGAGATTCTGTTATTTCTGAATTGGTCAGTAGATTAATCAATAGGTTTAAATAAGCATGTTTTTAAAAGTTGTAGTGGAAGATGACTTATAAAAGCTATCAGAGGATTATGATGCTTTTCTCAGCATAACCTGTTATGGAGATAGACAGGAGATTTGAGATATCAGGGAGGGCAAGGGGCATCTTTTCCTGTTCACTTCCTCTTCACAACATTTCCTGCCCTGTTTTAGCTTATGTCAATTCCTTTCCCCAGAACCTAAAAGTTTATATTTAAATCAATGATATTGTCCTCTAGAGTTTGTGCACAAAGTTATCGAACTAGCCTTGAAAGTGAACCATTGCTTATATTCACCTGTGTGTTCAGAGCCTGTCTGTGTTTTTCACTCTGGGCCTATTTCCTTTGAAATATATTTGACTGAACTGGTCTCTTCCTCTGCTCCCTGTGTAATGTGCAGATATGACATTGCCATGGTGAAGCTGATTCAGGGTGCTGTTCTGAACTCCTATGTTGCTCTGGCGACACTGCCCAGCAGTGGCTACATCCTTCCTTCAAACAGTTTGTGCTACATCACTGGATGGGGACTTACTAGCAGTAAGTTTGTAAGAGGAAAATGTCTTCTGAGTGACAAAACCCATTTGAATCTAAACAGGAGTACAAATCAGTGTATCCTTATTAGTTCTGTAATGTATTCAGATGAAATGAGTATTCAAACTGAAGATAAATAAACTGATTGAAGATAATAAAATACTGCGTGCTTTGTTGCAAAAAAGCACTTTACTTAGCATATACATGCAATTACATTGTTAAAAGTTGCATTCAGATATTTTTAAAAAGATGCATTAAATGTTTTAAAGGAGACTCTCCCTCACTAGTAATGATACTTTCCTCTAAACTCAGGCATCTTTCCTTTTGCCAGAAATAAATTAGTACTCTGAGCACAGATAAAACATTACTGTGTGCCAAAAATCTAAGGTGGGAATTAGCCAGACAGGACTCTCTCAACCCTTAGTGTAATAGTGATTCTTACATCTTTCTGAGTGTCTCCAGTTAGTACTGATGTGGCCCATGACAAGGTATTAAATATTTTTAAAACACAGGTGTGCCGGAGAAACATACACACTGCTTTATATTCTAGGTGGGAAATATCAGTGAATCATCACCTGGAGACTTCAGAGTTCACAATAGAATTGTGTTGTAGGCACTGGGGATTATAAATTGCTATAAATTCATAGTAACATCAGAAATGTTGTTAACAGCCAATGGACAGCTGGCAGCCAACCTCCAGCAGGCCAGCCTCCCCAGTGTAGACTACACCACCTGCTCCAGCAGCTCCTGGTGGGGATCAACTGTTAAGAGCTCCATGATCTGTGCTGGTGGAGATGGAATCAGATCAGGTTGTAACGTAAGTAAATCCACTCCAGATATCAGTTCTGTCATTATTGTTTTACTGTAGCTGTGGCTTTTTTTTTGTTTGATCTTAAGCTTGTATTTTGTTTCACAGCTGCATTAAGTACTCGATTGTTTGCATTAATCATGAAGATGGCTATCCCAGAAAAAAACATTTCTTTAGGTGTAAGTTTTGACACACTGACTTGTTTGCAAGGACTGTCTTTGTGTACTATTCAAATGCCAGAGCTTTGATGATTAATGTTTCCCCTTGCTCTGTAATCTGCTCTGTCCTGCAGGGGGATTCTGGAGGACCCCTGAACTGTTTTGTCAGTGGAAGATACCAAGTTCATGGAGTGACCAGCTTTGTGTCTTCATTAGGCTGTAATGTTTACAGGAAGCCTACAGTCTTCACACGTGTCTCAGCATACACAAGCTGGATCAACAGTGTAAGTCCAAAACTTTGTTTTTGATGACAAATGTTGATGGGTTTGCATTTGCAGGCAGGGGGTGTTTTAAAGAAATTTGCCACTAAAGAAGTGGAATTTGGAATATTAAACATACAATTTGGAATAATACTGCTTCACAAAGTACATATTATCATATGTCCTACAACTGAATGTGCTCTGTTGTTCATATGTTTAATGAGTCTATTGCAGGCTTGAGCTCTAATAACTCTTTGCATGATCTGTGTAGCCCAGAACAATGTTGGCTTCCATTTTCTTTTATACAATTTAGCAGATTAAAAGTGCTTTTCTTTCTATATAAAACTGTATATTTATGCAGATATACAGTAAAACAAAATAACATAAAAAAATATCATTAACTATAACAGTATGTACAAATTGAAAAATGTACCATCCATGCTGCATTTTCCAGAATGCTGTCAAAACTTAGTTAATTTTTGGTACCTTCAGGCCACCTTGGTGACGTGTGTTTCTCTTCTTCTAGGTCATCGCCAGTTATTAAGTATCAGTGGGCTGTGGTGAATGGATAACATTTCTGACACCTGCTGTGTGACAAGAGATGCACAATAACATCTATATGTGTAATTTACTAGCAATAAAGCATTTTTCTTGCAAAAGCAAGCTATCTTTATTTTGTACTCTATATCTGCTATATTTTGATACTGACACATTTAACTTAAAGTAAATAAAGACATTAGCAATTTGAACAAAGTAATAGATGTTTTCCCAATATCAGAGTCTACATTTGGACAGGTATTTAGTAACAAGAACAACATTATAACACAAGCACACAACACAAAAAATTGCACAACATATAACATTAAATGTTACATAACACACAAAACTACTGTACGCGTTCCAGAGGCCTGCATCCTAACAGACTTAGAAAACGCACACGTAAGCCTGTAACCTGAAACACTCTGCAGTACCTTTACAGGCCAACAAGAGAAATACTATTTTATCCAATACAGGGTTGCGGAAGAGGCGTAGTGAAATACCCAGCACTTTCAATAAAAGAATACAACTCAGCAATGGATCTCTTCCTGAGAGAATGGAATCTCTCTCCCTATTGTAAAAATGCATCATCAAATTAGGATAGAATCCTCTTTATCTAAAAGATTCTACAATAAATGAAATCAGTATTTTCTAAAAATAATATGACAGCAAGCTCTCAAAGACAATGCTCGACTTTATTTGCTAGATTCTGGTCTCCAAGACTGATCAGAGCAAGGTCCTCTACCATGCCACAAAAAAAGGCAGAAATATACAGTAGACATGATAGAGCAAGAGACAGATGATGATGTTTCTTCTTTTTTTCCTCTCCTTCTTCTCTATCTCTTCTTTGTCTCCTCCTTCTGTTCTTTATCCAGTGTTTTTATGTTTTTTTTGTGTGTTTTCCTTTATTCAGTAGTTTATTCAGTATGAAAAATGCAGTGTATGTTTGACGTAGTTCACCTGTTTGAGAGAGTTAACAGCCCATACCCCCCAGTATTGTGAGAACTGACCCAGGGCATTGTTGAAGGGGTGGTGTGAGGGCTATGAGTGAGTCCCAGTTGCGAGACTTATATATGCTGGTGAGCTGACGAGTGTGAGATTAGGTCTACCCTTCCTTCTGAATTTCTATTATAACTTTCTTACACCTGTGGTTTATTATTAACCACAAAAATTCTCCAGAAAATGTACTTTGATCCACTGGGATTTCCTGTCTCTAATGTCAGCTTCAAGGGGTAAACATCCCTGCTTGAACTCATTGTTTTTAAATATTGAAAAACCCCAGCATTTTTATTATTCTCCCCTCAAAAAATATTGTCCTCAATAATTGCTTGTATCAACATGCCAAAAGGGTGAAGGAAATGTAACAGATTTTTGCTTTACCTTTTATACACAGTGTTTGAGAGTCACTATAGCCTTCCTAAGGCACAGGGGTACAGTGGTATCATCGCACAGTGGGTCCCTGGGTTCAGTTACCTGTGCTATCTCTGCTGTTGGTATGGAGTTTATATGTTCTCCCTGTGTTTGCATGGATTTCCAGTGGGCGCTTTCCTCTCACAGTCCAAAAACACACTAGTAGGTTAATTGGTTTCTGGAAAAATTGGCCTAGTGTGAGTGTGTGAGTGTTTGTGTCTGTGTGTGCCCTGCAATGGACTGGTGTGCTGTTGACGATATTTTTAGCTCCCCTGCGACCCTGAACAAGATGAGTGGATGGATTTTGCCTTTCTATTCAAAGACTGTGCTTTTTCTATTCTTTCAATTTGTTTTGCTTTTTTTGTTTTTGAAATAAATAATAAATGTCTCTACAAATTGCCTGACAAACTGGGTGTGTTGGTGTGCCAGGTCCTGCCTATTTTGGTTCTACACTTCCACACCCTGAGACTGATTCTACTCTCCCAAACCCTGACACTGTTCCTTCTCGTTATGGAGTTTATATAACAAAAGTTCGGGAGGGATGACAACAACCAAACTCAATCGTTCCAAGCCGACAGTAATTAGCAATCACTCCCTTCGTCCTTCCTCCACCAAACGCTATAAATACCAACTTGACATCTCTCTCCCTCGCGTGTGACTTTTGCATCCCACCTCCACCCCAACTCCACCTCTGCAGCTGGTTACCCTTGGTTACCCTGGGTGGGGGTCCTGGCCTCCTCGTCCTATGGCCAGGAGGTTGACCCTCAGCCAAGGAGGTTAATCCAAATATCAGTTCCATAATAGTTCATTAGGCTTTGATCTTGGGTGTTGTCATTCCTAGTGAACATTCTTAAACACTTCTCTGCCCAGGAGGGTCTTTCCTGCTAAACTCTTCTCAGTCCATCTATTCCCCATCCATACAATCCTTAGGTCTACAGACAATTGTGCCGTAATAGTAGCAGTCTGTCTCTTTCTAGCCAGAGTATGAACGGTTTTATTCCCCGTCACAAATTAGTGTTCATCACTCAAAGATCAATTGAATCCATTCAATCTGTGTATTTATGTTGTTTTATGGTTTTATTTATTACTATCAATTAATCTGTGTCCAGTGGCAGCAGATGAACTCATGGTTTTGCTACTCTAATAATTCTCTGTATGGGGGTTTTATTCAGAACAATTAAAATAAATAACTAGTCAGTAGTTCTCATCAGTATGAGAACTGCCCCTTGCTGTCTGTACTAAACCTAGTTCACTTCACTTGCAGCTTACTTCTTCTGAAATCATTTGAGCTCCTGTAAAAAGGACAGTTTTGCTGGAGACACTGGCGTGCCAAAATCATTTTCAAACTTCAAGCTAATTTTAACTGCGGTTTCAAATACAGGGGCTCCAGATCTCCAGAGACGCCGTAACACACAGTCGTAATCCTGTCACTCATAATTTATCCCTGACTCTATTTGCCAAAAGGCGGTACTGGAGGTGGGGAGGCAGAGAAGTTGATTGAATGTTATTTGAGTTACGGTATTAGTGGCAAGTAGGGAAGCACGCGTGATTAGCAATTTTATTTGAAGAAATTAAGGTAGGAATACTCAAAATAAGTCCAATATTAAAGTTTAATTTTAGTTTAGATAGTTCTGTTACAACCGCAGCGTCCGCTGCTGCCAGTTTTTCTAAATAAGCTTTTGTTAAGTTTTATCATTGTTAATTAAATAATTAATTTTACTGTCTGAGTTTGCTGGCTTGCAGTAGCTAGAAATTAATATTTCAATATTTTTTAAACGTAAGAGTTCATCAAATGAACCATATGTACGACACATTTCCATCCTGGACATCATAGTCAGTTTTTTTCTAACGTGGTGGTTGCTTTTAATACAGTTTACGGTATAATAAGATGTACATACAAATCAGATATGAAATTATTGACTCCCTCTGACTTTTGCACTGAAAAGACAGGTGCAATACTGTAGTTTTGACCTTCGGTTTGTGTGCAAATACGAAAGGCTTTTCTAATGACGACATCGAAATAAGTTGTTTTCATTCGGATATAATTCTGCATTAAAAAATAGTACTTTTTTAGGAAATCGCTGGATTTGCAAAATGCATGAGCCAATTAAGATGCATTAATTAATCTTGATGTTAATGCATTGCTGGCATATTTACGAGACGTACTGTGATTGGTGCAATATCGGAAATTCTGCAAATAGTTTCTTTGCATTTTAGAGTAGTCTAAGAAAACGCTGTGCTCATGACGCCATAAAATAATAACAAGGAATGACTTATTACCCTGTAGCTTGAAAATGTAAAAGATAATCCTAAAGTTGTTTGTCATTATTCCATCCATATGTTCTGTAAGTAATAAAAAGTGAGCGAACAACTGATTTACATGGAGTGACAAAGAAATAATAACAACAAAATGTATTTTCTGTTATTGCTGCTCTCAGGGTAAGGTCATTTTTCCTGTTCTAATAGGATCGGGCTGTGAATCCGGCCTGCTGCATATTTTCAGGGCGACCAGAAACGACCCAATTAAATTAATAAATTAATTAATAAAGAAAGGGTTTTTTATCTTACAGCTTTATTTTATTTTAATGCACAGTGTGTGTTTGCATACCTGTTGGAGTAAATTAGGAAGCACGTGCAGTGCAGTATGTTTGCATGTCTTTCCGTGTGTATGAATGGTCTGGAATTCGTGTCTGGAAAAGGCAACCTCACTTAAATAAAGCAAATATTTTTATAATATGTAAATAAACATTGACAAAAAGTATAGAATTACGCAAGTTTTTCTTCTAATGTGAATGATTTTTTTTTTATTTTATTGCTTTACACATTATTTCTACTCTAGCGTTGCCACTAGAAAAAAGAAACAACAACAACACATGTCTTTTCTGTTATTGCTTCTGTTAGGGAAAGGACATTTTTCCTGTTCAAATACAGGGGCTCCAGATCTCCAGAGACGCCGTAACACAGTCATAATCCTGTCACTCATAGTTTATCCCTGACTCTATTGGCCAAAAGGTGGTACTGAATGCGGGGATGCAGAGAAGTTAATTGAATGTTATTAGTGTATTAGTGGCAAGTAGGGAAGCACGCGTGATCAGCAATTTTATTGAAAGAAATTAAGGTAGGAATACTCAAAATAAGTCCAATATTGAAGTTTAATTTTCGTCTAGATAGTTCTGTCACTACAGCTCCGACACTGCTGCCAGTTTTTCTAAATAAGCTTTTGTTAAGTTTTATCATTGCTAATTATATCATTAATTTTACTTTCTGAGTTTGCTGGCTAGAAGTAGCTAGAAATTAATATTTCAATATTTTTTAAACGAAAGAGTTCATCAAATGAACCATATGTACGACACATTTCCATCCTGGACATCATAGTCAGTTTTTTCTAACGTGGTGGTTGCTTTTAATACAGTTTACAGTATAATAAGATGTACATACAAATCAGATATGAAATTATTGACTCCCTCTGGCTTTTGCACCGAAAAGACAGGTGCAATACTGTAGTTTGTTCCTTCAGTTTGTGTGCAAATACGAAAGGCTTTTCTAACATCGAAATAAGTTGTTTTCATTCGGATATAGTTCTGCATTTTACAAAAATCTTACCTTTGTAGGAACTCGCTGGATTTGCAAACTGCTTGAGCCAATTTAGATGCATTAATTAATCTTACAAATTAAAGTTTTTCTTCTAATGTGAATGATTTCATTTTTTAAGTTTTGGAAGCACTTTATATCACTTTACACATTCTTTCTACTCTAGCATTGCCACTTGAAAAAAATCACTAACCGCGCAAAATTACTTCGAACACAGTGCGGCCTGCAATTTATAACAGTACACAAAGTATACCACTAAGTATTCTAGAAATTGCATTAAAAATAAATATAAATTCATTTTTTGGGAAACCCTACGTCCTGTGTATTCCGCAATCATAAGAATACAGTAACTTTAACATTTAACAAGGGTAGTTTGTGTGTTGTGTAATTGTCTGAAATCAGACGGGTTCCATTGAGTTTCCTGTTTAATGAAATGCAACAATACATTCTAAAATTTTTCCAAGAAAAAGTAGGTCAGATATAGAGTGAAAATGGTTTACAGTAGGTAGCATTAAAGTTTTTAAGGCTATGCATGTGTAAAGTAGTATCATTGTTGGCAAGCATTCCATTTTGTCATGTGTTTTAGTTTGTACTGCATTTCAGACTTTAAGCCAAGTTAGACCTAAATGCTTTTCTACCTTAATATTAATCTTTTTTATCACTCTTGGTAAATTGCATTCATATAATCTATTTTCTGCTACTTCTCACACCTTCTAAAATGGGTAAAAGTCTGCAAGTTGAAAACCACTGACAGAACAGTATTGAATGATATACTGGCTTGTTCTCATGTTGGTTTTGGTAGGTTTGGAGGCAGGCATGTGAAAGGGGGGGACAAGTGATGTTAGTTTACAGATATAATTGCAGGGCAGGGCTTGTTAATTCATCTTATGTTTCCTGTTCAGGCAAAAATGGCTAGGTTTCCTTGTATCTGGTTTAGTAGATCTGTCTTGGGATTTGCTTTCCATGTCTACTCAGGCTCAGCACAGCAAAATGGTGAATCCAAGAGCTTCTACACGCAAGAGGAAGGCCGTGGCCCCTAAGCGCCAAGATCTCCTCCCTCCTTTACCACCCCAGCGATCCGAAAGACCAGGTCATGATTTACTTTATGATTTTAGCAGTTCCTGTTTTAAGCCAGCACGTGTAGATGTCGGTTCTCTTCTGACTCCTATCACTGAATTTGTAATATTCCATTTTATCACTCCAGTAGTATCATTTGTATTGGTTATCTGTCACATCCTTTTGCAAGTGAGCGTCTGCAAGCTTAATAGGAAACACATTGGTGGATATGTGAGCACAAACCGTATTTACACATTTGTGTCTATGGTTAGTCTGTTGCCTTGTCTCTCTTTGTGGTCAGTGCATTAAATGGTCTGTGTTATAGAGGGAGAGTGTCACGACCACCAGGCAGTCAAGACCGACTCTTTAGCGAGCTAATCATCACCAGCAGCGGGTGATTATTAACAAACGCCGCTGCACGAGTTAAACCACCTGCACACACTCCACCGTGCGGTGCACAGTGCTATTTATACCATCTTCACTTGCTTCCCGCTGCTCGGTATTGAGTCTACTCCTTGAGAGCTTTACCTGGCGTTTTTTCCTGTACCTCGTTTATTCTGGTTATTGGACTCCCCTTCTGCCTTTTCGACTTTGCACCTCCCCTCTCGCCTCGGACTGTCTGCTACTGGAGTTCTCCCCGGATTACTATTTGCCTTACGCCTTTTGACCACGACCTTGCCTCTCGTTTTGGATTGTTCACCTTCCTCATCTATTACCCGTGCCTGCCTGTTTAGGATCCTTGTATCTTCCCACCAGGGATTCCTAACAGAATACCGAGCCAAAGATGGATCCCGCGGATGCACAAGCCTTTCGCTCACTTTTCAATCGCCATTCCCAAGCTCTCACCCAGCTTCAATCTTCGCTTCACATTCTCTCCAATCACGTCGCTAGCCTTCCGCCCTCCCCTGTCCCTTCGCCTTCAGCACAGACCACTGCTCTGATCCCTGTGACCCCGCCCACCACTCCCGTAACCTCACTGTTTGTTCTCCCGGAAAGATATGACGGCAACGCCGCGGCTGTAGGGGTTTTATTGCGCAATGCTCCTTGGCTTTCCAGTTGCATCCTGGGCATTTTTTTTCTCCCCGGGAGCAGATCGGTTTTGCCCTTTCCTTGCTCACCGGCAAGGCTCTGGACTGGGCAGCTGTGTTGCTTGCTAGGGGAGATTTTCAGTTTGCTGATTTCCAGGTTTTTGCTGACCGGCTCCAGGCACGTTTTTCTCCAGTCAACCTGGACCTGACTCATCTCTGGCTCGCCTCGCTTCGTCAGGGTGATGGATCTCTGAATGATTATGTGGCTGAATTCCAAGCCCTCGCCACGGAATCTGACTGGAACCCAGAAGCCCTGATTTGACTTTTTTCTAAGGGTCTCTCTGAAGATCTAAAGGACCACCTGGTGCTCTCGCCACTTCACAACCGCTCTCTCGAATCAGCAATGGCTCAGGTGGTTGAACTGGACACCCGCATTCGGCTGCGGAGAGCAGAGAGTCATGCTGGAAGCAGTCCTGGCCGTCCTGAAGGTACTACCCCCACGGTGCCCACTCTGCATCATGCATCCCTTTCCTCGGAGGAAAAGGAAAGGCGCCATCGGGAGGGACTATGTCTCTATTGCTCTGCACCTGATCACCTTCTCTCTGCTTGTCCCTTGAGACCCCCGTATCCCTCTTGAACACTTCCGCAGCCTACTGTTAGAGTCAGTAGTACCGTTTTTTCTCAAACCTCGTCTGGCCCTTTATTCCCAGCTAAAATTTCTTGGACTGACTTACACCTTCCCCTTTTGGTTTTTGTTGACTCGGGGGCAGCGGGGAACTTTATAGACGCCACTTTTGCTAAGAAGTTTCCCCTGGCTCCGGTCTCACCCCCGATCTGTATTCAAGCTCTGGATGGATCCCCGATTGCACCTGGACGGATTACCTGGCAGACCGTCCCTCTCTCTCTAACAGTTGGTGCTACTCATGTTGAGGAAATTTCACTCCTTCTCCTGGACTCGCCTGCCTACCCGGTAATCCTAGGTCTTCCCTGGCTCAAGGAGCACGATCCCCACATCTTCTGGGACAAGTACGAGCTCATTGCCTGGAGCCACTCCTGTCATGTCAACTGTTGTCGTCAGCCGGTTAAGGTTGCTGCTGCAGTAACCTCTATGGAGGAGCACTCTACCATCCCACCCCAATACAGGCATCTGAAACAAGCCTTTGATAAGCAGAAGGCTCTTTCGCTTCCACCTCACCGTGCCTGTGACTGTGCTATAGAGTTGCTCCCTGGAACCCTTCCACCCAAAGGACGGATCTACCCTCTCACTCAGGCAGAGAATCAGGCTTTACAAAATTATATTAAGGAGGCTCTGGACTCAGGATTAATTCGTCCCTCCTCTTCTCCAGACTGTGCGGGTTTTTTCTTTTTTGCGAAGAAGGACGGCTCCTTGCGGCCGTGTATTGATTACAGAGGACTGAACTCCATTACGGTCAAACATCGTTACCCCCTGCCTTTAATTCCAGCCGCTTTGGAGTCCGTACGGGGAGCCTCCATCATCTTGAAATTAGATCTACGGGGGGCTTACAACCTAATCAGGATACGTGAAGGGGATGAGTGGAAGATGGCTTTTATGACCACCCATGGACATTATGAATATCAGGTGATGCCTTTTGGTCTTGTTAATGCCCCGGCGATCTTCCAGTCATTCATGAATGACATCTTTAGGGACATTATTGGGAATTTTGTTTTGGTTTACCTGGATGATATCCTCATCTTTTCTGCCAACCCTAGGGTTCATGTCCACCACGTCCAGGAGGTCCTGACTAGACTCATTAACAACAAACTCTATGCCAAGCTTGAGAAGTGTGTTTTTCACGCCTCAAAAATTCACTTTCTGGGTTACATCATTTCCCCCCTTGGTGTAGAGATGGACTCTGCTAAGGTGGCGGCCATCAATGACTGGCCAGCTCCTCGTAACTTAAAGCAAATTCAACATTTTCTAGGTTTTGCCAACTTCTATAGACGTTTCATCCAGAACTTTAGCTCCGTCATGGCGCCTATCACAGCACTAACCCGCAATCGACCAGGCTTGGGTAAATGGAACCTGGAGGCTAACCAGGCTTTTTGACGCTTAAAACAACTCTTCAGTTCAGCACCACTTCTACGACACCCGGATCCCTCTCAGCCATTCATTGTGGAGGTTGACGCCTCAGCCTATGGGGTTGGGGCAGTCCTCTCCCAGCGCCACGGGGATAAGCATAATCCACATCCCTGCGCCTTCTTTTCAAGGAAGCTCTCCCCCGCCGAGGTTAATTATGATGTCGGTAATCGTGAACTCCTAGCTATCAAGCTGGCCCTGGAGGAATTGAGACACAGGTTGGAGGGGGCACATCACCCCTTTGTCATTATCACGGACCATAAGAACCTGGCCTACATTCAGTCAGCCAAACGCCTCAATTCCCGTCAGGCCCGTTGGTCTCTTTTCTTTTCTCGCTTTAATTTTGTTATCACCTATACACCTGGCTCTAAGAATGGGAGGGCTGATGCTCTCTCTCGGCTCCATGATCCCCCGGATCTGGACTACACACCGGAACCAATCATTTTATCTAACAGAATCCTCGGGGCGATCCACTGCTCTATTGAGGATCAGATCAGACGTGCCCTCAACGGAGCTATAGTTTCTTTGTGCTGCCCGCCGGATAAGCTTTTTGTACCGGACAACTTGCGTTCTGCTGTCCTGCAATGGGGGCATGACTCCCTTTTTGCAGGCCATCCCGGGTGCACACGTACTCTGGACCTACTCACCAGAGATTTCTGGTGGCCTTCCATGCGATCAGATGTTGCAGAGTACGTCCGAGCTTGCCCGGTCTGTGCCAGGATCAAGACTCCGCGTGCCAAGAAGACCGGTTTACTTCACCCTCTTCCGATCCCACACCACCCTTGGTCCCACATAGCTGTGGACTTCATTACGGACCTTCCTAGCAGTCAAGGTCATACGGTAATCTTGGTGATCTCTGATCGTTTTTCCAAGGCAGCCCATTTCGTCCCCCTCCCAGCATTGCCCACAGCCCAGGAAATGGCGTCACTGTTTGTGCAACAGGTCTTTAGGATACATGGGTTGCCCGACGATGTGGTCTCAGACAGGGGACCTCAATTTGTCTCGGCCTTTTGGAAGGCGTTCTGCCAAGCTTTAGGGACCCATGTATCTCTGACTTTGGGTTATCATCCTGAGGCCAATGGTCAGGTGGAACGGACCAACCAAAGTCTCCTTACCTTTTTGAGAGCCTTCACCTTCAACTCGCAGGATGACTGGTCATCGCTACTTCCCTGGGCAGAATATGCCCATAATTCTCTTACCTCCTCCTCCACAGGTCTCTCTCCCTTACTCTGTTCTCTAGGTTATCAACCCACTCTCATTCCTGTCACCCCTCCGGACACGGCTGTGCTGTCGGTGCGTCATTATATTTCCAAGCTGTGGAGGACCTGGAGAATGGTGAGGACAGCTCTCACCAAGTCAACTCAGCGCCAGGGCAAATTCGCAAACCGACACCGCAGACCAGCCCACCATTTTCGCAGAGGACAGTTTGTTTGGCTATCAACAAGGAACCTACCTCTACACCTGCCTTCCAAGAAGCTCCGGCCTAGGTATATCGGCCCCTTCAGGATACTCTCCCGGATCACCCCAGTTACCTTCCGTCTTGCACTTCCCCCCACCCTTAAAATCCACCCGTCTTTCCACGTCTCCCTCCTGAAACCCTTCTACCGCTCACCTCTTACGGCTCCCCAACGTTGCCCGCCACCCCCGCATTGCATTCTGGGGCACCAGGCATATACAGTCCACAAGATCCTCGACTCTAGACGGAACCGCGGTACCCTTCAGTATCTGGTTGACTGGGAGGGTTATGGCCCTGAAGAAAGATCTTGGGTTCCGGAGGATATTTTGGACCCTATGCTAATCAGAGACTTCCACAGGGACTATCCCGATCGGCCTTCTCGGGTGTCGGGAGCCGCCCGTGAAGGGGGGGGTACTGTCACAACCACCAGGCAGTCAAGACCAACTCTTAAGCGAGCTAATCATCACCAGCAGCGGGTGATTATTAACAAACGCCGCCGCACAAGTTAAACCACCTGCACACACTCCACCGTGCGGTGCACAGTGCTATTTATACCATCTTCACTTGCTCCCCGCTGCTCGGTATTGAGTCTACTCCTTGAGAGCTCTACCTGGCGTTTTTTCCTGTACCTCATTTATTCTGGTTATTGGACTCCCCTTCTGCCTTTTCAACTTTGCACCTCCCCTCTCGCCTCGGACTGTCTGCTACCGGAGTTCTCCCTGGATTACTATTTGCCTTACGCCTTTTGACCACGACCTTGCCTCTCGTTTTGGATTGTTCGCCTTCCTCATCTATTACCCGTGCCTGCGTCTGCACAGGATCCTTGTATCTTCCCACCAGAGGTTCCCAGCAGAGAGATGCTAATGGACAAAGTATGTTTCTTCCAGGGACCAGTGCTATGATGGAGGTCAGCCCGGTCCAGGAACCTACTAACAAGCAGCTACGCAGGGGCCCTTCCACCAGAGCAGTAATGTCCTTTGCACTTCAACTGGGCACCACACTGGATACACACACACTGGATAAACTACACACACTCTGGATAGACACTGGATACACACACACTAGAAGCACACACTCTGGACACACACACACTGGATTAACTGTACACTCACACTTGATACACACACTCTGGATACACACACATGATGGATAAACTGTACACTCACATTGGATATACACTCACAATGGATACATACTGTACACACAGTGGATACACACTCACAAGGGATAAATACTGTATTTAGCTTTGCCTGTGTCCAGTCTAGTACATCTGTGTGTAGATTGATTGTTCTTGTCTACACAGACTCAGCAGAGCAAAATACAAAATCAGGAAAAGCCAGGTTCTGCTCGTAAGAGGAAGGCTGAGGTCCCTCAGCGCCAAGTTCCTCCCCCTCCGCCACCACCCCAGAAATCTGACAGTGCAGGTCAGTGCGAAGCTCCACCACTGTGACTCGCTGTGTTTCTGTGTGTCTTCATCTGCCTGTCTGTCCCTCTGTGTCTCAGTTATTGTATTGGCCTCCCTTCAAATTTTAGTTCAGGGTTATTGTCACGTGTTCCTGAGTACAATTAAATGCTTACTTCCGTGTTTTCCTCAAACATGACAAATGACATAAAATATTACATAACATTGACAGAAAATGACATAACAAATTACATCTCAATTCTTGGAGACAATAACAGGGTAGCAGCTATTATTTAACAAACATTTAGATAGCAAAGCTGTGTGCAAAGTTCAGCAGTGGCTGTAAATTCACTTTGCTTTCTGATTCACAAATTCAAAGTTGTGGTTGTGTTTTGAGTTCAATGCAAAACAGAGGGGTGTAAGTGGGTGGAGAATTTAAGAGGTGGAGTTTAGGAGTCTTATGTCTGTGCTGTAGAAGCTTTCTTTGAACCTAGAGGACCAGGCTCTTATAAAAAGTGCATTTCCAGGGTGGTTTTTATCCTTGATAATTTAACTTCCCGTTCTTAGGCAGTGCGTGGATACTGCATGGTCATGGTCATGCATGGCATGGTCATCTGTCACTTTAATCATTTAATTTTTTTAAAGTCAGCTCTTGCAATAAAAAAATCAGTACACACACAACTGAATGCAAAGTGCTGCTCCTGTAAAGGTCCTTAAATTTGTCTTTTTTGTGATCCAGTCATACAATATGCCATGGGAAAATAATTGTGAGCATATGTCAGTTAACCACTGAAGTACACTAGTCATTGCCAAGCCTGGCCACATAGGTTGTGCATTATACAGTATAGTTTGACATTCTCTTCATATTTTCTTTTGAGGCAGGTAAATCTGCTAACCTTATGCTTTGTAGGAGTATATACCCAACCAAAATTGTGTTTATCTGAACAGCAGTTACTTACTTTTGAAATATTGGAATAAACAGATATATGCGATATATATAAATCTCTAAATTTATGAAGAAAAGTGTGTGACTGATATGCGAGTGCAGACTGTATGTGTCTATATTTTTGGTTAGTCTGTTGCCTCATATCTTTGTGTGAACAGTGCATTAATTATTTGTTTTGTACAAGGGGAGAAGCCAGTGAAAAAGTGTAGGTACCGTCCAGGGTCCCGCGCTTTGATGGAGATTCGCCGGTACCAGGAATCCACTAATCTGCTTCTACGCAAACGCTCCTTCGCCAGATTGGTAATGTCTTGTACACACTCATGCTACAAAAATAGTGGAAATACAGTAAGGTAGTGCTCTGTATACAATGGACTTCTTTATTGTATGTTTTCTTGGTAACAGAAGAGCACTGATGCTGACAATAACTCTGCATGCTTGTCTGGTATCATTGTGTTTTGCTACCACAGTCCCACTACCCGGAAGCAGTGAGTGAGGTGAGGAGCAGTGAAGCTAAAAAACAAAGTAGAATTAGTAGGAGTTTAACTCAAGTCGCTTACTTGTGTCTCTCCACTCAATTCTAGAAGGTTTTGTGGGGGGTTTTAATCACCAGCAGCTTCAGACATTTGCAGGGACATTAAATCGGACCATTCGAGCCTTGATTGATCTGCCGCTAAAGATGTTGTGTGGTTCCAGGTACGCGAGGTGTGTAAGCAGATGTTTCTGATGGATTACAGATGGCAGGGCATCGCTATCACCGCGCTTCAAGAGGTGAGACTGTGGGTTTACCTTGTGGTCTACTGTCTTTGAGTTTAGTGGTACTTTACTGTCACTCTACACCATTGACATACTTGTGTACTTGAATTTATATTTACATCTACATCAGATATGAGTATACGTATAAAGATTCACATTTAAATTGTTCCAGAAATGGCCAGATCCCATCACATCTATTGCCTGTCTTTGTCTGCCAATGCATGGTACAATATACCTGAAGCTGTACCTGGTTTTCTGTACAACGCAATGTAATCACCAAGGAATCTGAGCCCTCTACTGCCACCTATCGGAGTGTAGCAGCAGACCTAGTGTCTTCTGTCAATTATTGATCTTACCGTGATTGTTTTTCCACATATCAAATGTGGTTAAATGTTCCTGAATTGTTAGCTTTGAGACAGAAATTAACCTTGAGCTTTGTTATAGGGAAATTATTTTGTTTAACAGTTTAAAATTATTTAAGGATCTTGAATAATTATGAACCGTGACATATTCCAGTGGGATAGACTGGCATTCCGTCCAGGGTGTACACTGCCTTGGGTCTTTCGCATGCTGAGATCTGGCTCCCCTGTGACTCTAAATTGGAAGAAGCAGTTGGAAAGCAGATTGATGAGTGGAAATATACCATGTTTGGTGTATTGACTACTTGACGCATTTTTTAAGCTCACATCATCTGCTCCTTGTATTTATATAATATGAATTCAATACGTGAGCCTTTGCAAAATCCAGGTTTACCAGGTTGTTGTGGTCATTTTGTCTGTCTGTTGGGAAATGCGCCCGGTGTCTCTGATCTACGCCCCTGCCCTCTCTTAGGCTGCAGAGGCGTTCCTAGTGCGGCTCTTCCAGGACTCCTACTTGTGCTCATTGCATGCCAAGCGGGTCACCCTGTTCTCCAGGGACGTCCAGCTGGCCCGCCGTATCCGGGGTCCTGAGGACCGCGTGTGAGGAGCCAGTCCAGCACCGTTCAGCAGGATGGCCACAATGTCTGGATATTTGTCAGACTTTGTAACAGGTGTTGTATTTCCACAAGTTCTGTTAAGTTGGAAATGATTATGTTCGATTTTTGAGCTCCTGTTGAAAACTTTTCTATGTTATGCAAAGACTGTATTTGAAATTGTTACAGTATGTTCTGTTGTTTGAATTTTTATGATGTCGAAATAGTGGCTTGAATTCTGTGCCTAAGAATACCAATAGTTTTTATTTGCGAGCAATTTTCAAAGTCCTGTACTATAGCTCACATAATACTGAGCCTGTTACTGACTTTTTCAAGAAAAGACACATTGGAAGTGGTAGTTTTAAGTAGTATGTGGGAAAGTGGTTTGCGGTAAGGAAAAGGAAAAAGAGTTATATTAGTTTCTATTTTGTTTTACAGGGTTAGTCAAAGTGCGGTTGTTAATGTTGACGGTTTATTACAAATTAGTTACATGGGTAACTGACAAAAAAGATTTCAAATTAAAGCATAAATGTCAAAGATTCTAACAGTTGCAGTCCTTCTGTGGAGGAGAAAATAATGCTTCAGTAAAGTAATTGACCTTTATACTTGTCTACAGCAACCCTGTTTCTACTAAAGGTTTTTTGTAGATTGTGTTTTTATTTATTGTGTTTGATATTATGTAATTTATGGTTATTATGTTTGTATTGTAATTTTTGCAAATAAAAAAAAAACAGGTGTCAAAATAGCAGACTTTAAGCTGACGGGACGTTAGGAGGTCTTTACTTAACAAAGGATCAAAAACAGGAAGTAAGATTAAACACACCGCTGTGGAGGTGCAGGATGAAGGATTGTGAGGTGCCAGAGCTGGGGTAGGTGTCCAAATAGGTCTAATAAAATATGGGATACAAAAATATACCATATTACAGTTTTTCTCAGCTGCTCAAATTAAATTCCTGAAACATACTTTTTCAAAATGGTTAATGCAAGTCCCGCAAATTAAGTGTGATTTGAGAAACACTTTTGTCATTTATGACTGTGTTTACACAAAATTCAAAGCACATTTGTACAAAACAATGAATGCAAATCTGCAGTTAACAGAGTAAGGCTTGTGAAACTAAATGAATTAATTAGTTCACAGCTGAAAGCAACCAGTCCCATGACTTAAATCTTACAGATAACAGCCAAAATTGTTATATCATCAGTCAAAACTGAAGCATACATTTACTGTATTAGGTTACCAGTGAGTTAGTTTTGCAGAAGGATGGAGCAGGAACAAGTAGTTGGAAGAAAAAGGGGTCTGAATGCATGGTGATAGTGCTGGGGGGAGATAATGGGAAAGAGAAAGGTGGAGTTATACAAATACTGTACCTCTAATGAAATAAAGGTCACCACAGTCCAAATCATGGCTTAGTAGTGACGTGGCAGGACCCTTATTGGACACGGAGTCATACTGAATGTGACAGGACAGTGAGGGGTAATATAACCATGTTACTATATCAGATGTTATCATCTTTTGAATAGCTTTCTGGGAGCAAAGATAGCCAGTATTCCATTTCTGGGCTCTATTGTATTGATTGATGTCCTGTTTTGCATCTGAAGCATGTGCTAAATCTTTTGATTTTGTTAGAGCCTTTTGCACCTACCTATATTGTCCTGTTTTGCAGAAAGATGGTTTTGAGGTTCGGTTAACTTTTTGAAAATGAGAACTTTCAAGAATTTATCTCAGGAAAACTGTGTTAAATTAGCACATGAGATTGCAAATGTCATTTGCAATCTCATGTGCTACATTAAGAAAAGAATGCTGCTCTGCTCTGTAGTCATTCCAGAGCAAGCAGGTACATTCTGGGGCTTAAAGAAAATTGACAGGCTTAAGTAAATTATTTTTTTAGTCTTGAAGAATTATTAAGTTGAGACCCAATTCAAATATTCAAAATCCTCCAAGAAAGTGAAAAGGACAACCCCGTGGACTTCTTCCATTGTTTAGTTTTTCTTCTATTTAAACAGCACAAGAACTGGACAGAAAAGGAAACTACTGTAGGAAGAAGCAAGGGTTATGAGAAGAGATGTGGAGGAAGGAAAAGGATAAACAGCAAGATGGGGGAAGGAAAACTATTATGGATGGGAAGAAGGATTTGGGAATAAAGCCTGTAATGGTCCACAAATACTACAGTATTCAGTCATTTGTTGAACTGAACAAGTACAGTGGCAACAGTAGGCAGTAATAAGAAAGAGGCTACTACTTTAATCTGAGTCATTTGACATTAACACCGTAACGAGAGAGAAAGGACACTCCATTAAAACTGCACTGAGAGAAAAAAGTTAAAAGTTAAAGGACATTTAATGGATATTAAAGTACATTAAAATCGTACTGAAAGGAGAAAATACTGTACATACTTAATTACTTTCTAAAACAGAGACTTCATATTCCTGTAGCTTTCAAGTCAACTACTGTTACATCATACTATTAAATTAATATTCTTAGGTAGAGAATTCAAAGAATATTTTGATTAAATAAACTTTAATAAGAAAAATAAAATCTTTACTTAAAAAAAAACATTTGTGAAACAGGAGTCTAAAACCCAAAGAACATTTAAAGAATTTCCAACATAACCACTGGAAATACAGCATCTGTAACAATGTCTAACTACCATCCAGCCAGTGAAAAATCTTTGCAACATATCAATGTGTTATCGAGAGCAGCTGGTGGCCATCCTGCTGAACGGTGCTGGACTGGCTCCTCACACGCGGTCCTCAGGACCCCGGATACGGCGGGCCAGCTGGATGTCCCTGGGGAACAGGGTGACCCGCTTGGCATGCAATGAGCACAAGTAGGAGTCCTGGAAGAGCCGCACTAGGAACGCCTCTGCAGCCTAAGAGAGGGCAGAGGTGTAGATCAGAGACACCGGGCGCATTTCCCAACAGACAGACCATTTCATGAATTTTAAAAAGAATAAAAATACACTGCTCCCATAATAATGAAACTTCATTCTTCAGTCCTTTCAGATGCAAGTACGCATTCTCTAAAAAAGCCTTTGCAGAAAAACATTGTTCTACCAATATTTCTCACATTACAATGTCTGCAAACAAAGGTTGTATCAAGGCTAACAGTTCAAAGGTTTCGATAGTTGAGTGCCATCTTCAGACACCTAATTAGAAACTAACTCAAGAATAAGTCGTTTCTACTTTAACCATAACTTACTGGCTTACTATTTGTCATAAGAATTTCTTTTTGTAGTAGCAGTTTGAACGATCCAAAATTTGTCTTTAAAATTAATTTCCTTGCTTACACATAAGTAACGTGAAGGAACATATGCATAGACTTTACAACACAAAGCAGTCATGATCAGGTAAAGACGGACCTTAAGGTAATGAGGAGTGAAATAACACCACAGATTTGCCTCCTGCAAATCACTATAAACAAGTTAAACCACATTTGACAGGTGAAAAAACAACCATTGTAAGATTGAAAGCACCATCTCTGCTGAACTATGAGCTACAGTCCAGCAAGTGGCAATGAAGTGCTCATAGACTGCTGTGCTCTATCACTAGTGAAAGACCATTTAATTACATTAAATAGGCAACCAGGTATGATCTCAGGTATACCTTGCATTGGCAGACAAAGGTAGACAGTAGATATGGTTGGTTTTCCTAAGAGGTGGTTTTCTGGAGCAATTTACATTATTTAAAGACTTATTCATATCTGATGTATGTCACTGGTATAGAGTGACTAGACAATAAAGTACCACTAAACTACTGCAAGGTGTTACCTCTTGAAGCGCGCCGATAGCAATGCCCTGCCACTTGTAATCCATCACAAACATCTGCTGACAGACCTCCCGTACCTGAAAACACACAATGTCAGAAATTTCAGACGCTGGTTGGAAAAGTATCGACTTAGCTCAGGCTTAAGGCTTAAGTGGACCAGTTTAGCTTTCCTACAGAGATGTGACACTGCTGGGGATTCTAGAAAAGCCCACAATTGAGCTACATAGGAGTGTAGAGCTTCCGTAAAGCCACAGGAGTTAAACTCCAACTGATTCTGCTTTGTTTTGTGCTTCATGGTTGCAGATCCTGCGGTCTACACTCACTGTTCCTGAGTGGCGTGAATGTAGTAGCAAAGCACAATGCTACGAAGAACAGCATGTATGCGTTAATGCCACCAACAGTGCTCTTCTGTTTTAAATTCCAGTGTTCAGTGCACAGGATCAATGTATTTTCCCTGACATGGGAAAGAGAAGACATTACCACTCTGGCAAAGGGGCCTTTGCGTAGCAGCAGCTCAGTGGATTTCTGGTACTGGCGAATCTCCATCAAAGCGCGGGTCCCTGGACGGTACCTACGCTTTTTCACTGGCTTCTCCCCTTGCACAAAACAGACAAGTTAATCCACTGTTCACACACAGGGATGAGGTAACAGAAAGACGACGAAGACTGTATGCGTGCAGATAACCATCCTGCAGTTCTCTTACTAGGTTTGCAGGACATTGTTTATAAATACAGTCCTGAACCGACTAAAAAGAAATTAGAGGACTTGACAGATACCATACAAACAACAACACTGGAAAGATAAATGGAGAAACACTAATTTGGTGATGGGAGTCAGAAAACAATAAAGATTCTGTATATAAAGCTATTTATATGTAAAACCTAAACTGTTAGATATCACATGATTTAAGCTGCAAATATGGGAGAGATGATTATAGACTGTTAACCCATCTGCTTGCCTGCATTGTCTGAGTCACCACTAACGTACATAATTAAATTTACAAAGAGGCTAATACAGTAACTGAGTTCCTCAGTGAAACAACACCCAGCAAACAGAGACACAGATGGACACACACAGAAACACACAGCGAGTCACAGTGGTGGGGCTTCACACTGACCTGCCCTGCCAGATCGCCGGGGTGGTGATGGAGGGGGAGGAACTCGGCGCTGAGGGACCTCAGCCTTCCTCTTACGAGCAGAGCCTCCCTGATTCCGCATTTTGCCGTGCTGAGCCTGTATACACGAGGACAATCAACCTACACACAGATGCGCTGTTCTGGACACGGGAAAGCTAACTCACCTGCCTTTGCCTGAACAGGGGACATTATGGCACGACTTGGCTTGTTAATTCACTTTTAATTGAAGTCTAAAAATGCGGTACAGAAAACGTGAAAAAAA